CTGCGCCGGCAGTCCGCCACAAAGCCTCGTACTGATCGCGCGTTTCTCTCATTATTGTATTTTCATATATTTGTTAGTCGTTTGTTTTGTGTCTCGTTAATTTGTTAATAATCTGTAGTGTATCGTGTTGTCGTAATATAGAACTATTTCTCGTATTGTTTCGTTTAATTTTTTATATCCAGTAAACTCCAGTCGTGCGTCGGAGCGGACACACACACTTTTTATTATATGTTATATTAGTACACCCAGATACAGAACGACACTGAGAACTCGAAGTGTATAAAAATAAAAGAAAAATACAGACTCCAACCCGGAAATTAATTTTAAACAAATGAACTTTGATTCGCTATTGTCTTACCGCTCATTCTATCTATCTTTTAGTTTTGCATAGATGTGAATTTGCTTTAAAGTAAAAGTCATGTTAAGTTCCAAGACAACCTTTATTCTCATTAAATAAATATGTCAACAGTAGGGCGAACTCTTTGAGTTGTTAACTTTATCATAACAAATCACTTTCCGCTTACAAATTATATTTATACACATATTATTACCTACGAGCTATCTAAGTAAAGGAATCTCAGTCTGTTCGTAAATAAATCGAGATCAATCATTCAATTTTGTACGTTACAAAAACTTGATCCAGTTATTAGCTTCAAATCATATCCATTTCACTCTAAATTACATTAAGCTACAAATTGTGATCCTGATGAAAAGATAATTTAACCTGTTTACGTTTTCCCGTTCGTGTTACTTCCGGTCAAAATATGATTTGCTTTGAAATCAATGTAATCTGAACACGGTAACAAGGTAAATACTATCTGCAATGATATGTGTCTGTGGATATGGTTTTGTTTATATGACCGTTACACAAGAACGTCCATGCAGTTCACACAGAGCTCGGACAAATCAAATGTACAAGAATATTTAAAGTTTGCTAATGGAAGATCAGAACGAATTAACCATAGTCCAATTCACAAGTTTTCTATTAGTCTTGAATCATTAATTTATAATTTTTGTTGGGCTTGTATGTACATTTTAACACTAACAGAATGTCGGGAGTTCTTGTATTTTCTTGATCAGCGCCATCTATGTCTCGTTCCCCGAAAACATCCCCTAAGCCAATATTACAACCTAGTCCATGTACAACACTGTTATATATTAATAAGATCCTTTTGATATTAATTCAATTAAAATGTATTTATTAATCTAAGATATTTTTCTTATCCGTTAAACAGTAAAATAATATATTTACAAGATGAAATACTTTAAATTTTTCAACTACAACACGTTTATATTACCACCACATTGGGCACATTGTTACATTTCGAGTACAAACATTATTTACATAAAGATTTTAATAGTAACGATGGATTCATTTTATCTAGTATATAACGTAAATAATTAGCTAATTTATTAGACAAGTAAAAAAGTGGCAAAGATTCAGTCGCTTACAGACTAGGCAGATAATATTTACAATTAAACTAAAACTGAAACAGATACTGAAATTTGCCTTGAAAACATCGCTTCAACAACAGTTAGTGTGGCGAATGGACGCAGCGATGGAGCACTGCACTCTCACCCACGCAGCTCTCGATGTGAAGGGTTCGAACGGATCACAGCGGAGTTTCAGCCGGCCCTTCTAGAGTGGGCCATTTGGAAATTGAAAGTACAATATAATCAGCGAACAAATACCGCACAGCGCGCGCTCCCTCCTCGTCGAGCTCAAGTCGGGAATCGATGTTCTTTGTTCCTTATAACATAATGTGAGCAGAAGAGTGGCCATTGTGAAGTTCACAAGTTCAATGTGCATGTATGTGTTACCGTTTTGGACGCTGATCGATTGGCCGGGGTACTCAAGCTTCAAAACTATTTGTTCCTTCTTCAAAGAGAAAAACTTCCAGCGAGTGGAGTCTGTGTTCGGAGATCACCGGATTATGTTTGCTTGCGAATGTTTTTCGTGAGCGGACTTGGAAACCAGTATAAAATTTTAGATTTAATGTTATGTTATCAACCCCGGTTTCCAATTTTTACGTTAACGCTTTTTTTTAATTTATTCAAGACTGGTATGGTGTATGAGTCGCTTAGAAATGGGCTTGTTGATATGATAATATGTAACTATATTTTATATAGTAAAAAAAAAGCTTGTTGGCAAATAATTAGTCTACGTGTTGATTATACTGCGTCCAATTTATGTACTTGTGTTAAGATAATCATTGTGCTTATTAATAAAGTAACAAGCACACATTAAAATTTCATATGAAAAAAAAAACGGATTCCGCGATACATATCTGTAGCGGTTAACAAATATGCCTGAATCGCGTTAACGACACTTTTAAGCCAACTTTCCAGGGATAAAAGTCCCGAACTAGAAGACTTGGACCATCGGTCTGCCGAGCAACGGCACCCGCTTGGTGGAAGATCTCTTCCCTTTGTCGATTTTTCCAAAAATGCGTTTCTATATAAAAGCCAGTAAATGTCTGTGTAAAAGGTGATCATTTAATACAGTTATTTTTGAAACCGAACAAAATGTGACCGAGACGCCTCCAGTGGAGCTGGAAGCAGGGTACCGGCCATCGTCTTCACACGCGACATCGACACGTCGTGGAGTCTAGTTAGCGACCGGGGCCGGCTTCGCATAATGGCCACTCGAGAGGGTCGAGGACTGTTGCGGAGTGCACGGGGACTCGGCACACACGTGCTCACAATCCCTTCTGTATTCCTCGATCGAGGACGCTTCACTCAGTACAGTTCCGGACGCGACAACCACAATTCTTAAAAAATAAACGCGTATTTTCTTATATTAGTACAATTGTTCTAGACGCAGGATTCCGGGATTCGATTGTCTAAGAGTTTCTCTTTGATGGCGTCAACGTTGAGGTCCGCGGCGGCTCGCAGCGTGGCGGAGGCGCTCCGCCCCAGCGCCGCGTCCGCCGGCTCCCGGCACCGCGCGCCCCACGTCCACGACGCGCCAGGACCGTTGCACGCCTAAACCACAAGTACAACACACAGTTAGCTTCTACGAGTATGTAATATGTGTTTAAGCACGGGTACCAACACAACCGAAACATCCTCCTCTGTTACCTGCTAGTGCGAGTACAAGAACTATCCGTGATTATGTACTGTACAAATGTAACTTGCAGTGGTCATCGGGCTCATTGCTTATGTTATATACTTGTTTAGAGTGAAATTAATTAAAGAAGAACAAAAGAGCAGCGGTATAGTGCGGTCGCTTGGTTATGAGCCGCGGGCTGAAGGGAGTACCAGGAAGCAGCCCCTGGATGATGAATTCTCGCGAGGGTTCACCGCACGAGCCGGGCGGACAGCACGCGACGCGGCTCCTCCTGAGTCGGCGTTTCTATTATCGGCTGAGTGTAACACTAAATTAAAAGTGCTTGAGGCTGGTCCGGTGCGAGAAGACGCAGAGGTAGGTAATAAAACGAAAGAACGACCTGATAAATCTATTGCGGAGTTAATTAAAACGTCCGCGTTGTTAGCGCGCGCCGACGCGCCGACGGATCCCAGTGAATCAGCCGGAGCAGGTGGATTACTGCGAGCGCGACATGCCGCCCCGCCCCGACTCGCCTTTGTACCTGCTTCCTTTCATTTCGTTTCATATTCCGAGAGGGAGCGCTGTCTGATTGTTTATTTAATACATATTGTAGAGCACGCTCACAGACTCAACTGTCCACGGTTTCTTGTTTAAATAGTTAGTTCTTTGTTTATTTCTGAGTCTCGCGTAATAGTAGTGTTAATTTCTTCAAATCGAGTTGAATTCTTTAATAAAAGTCATCATAAAGGAATAAAAATCCATAGACTGGGATCGAAGCGAGCCACATGTCACGATCACAAATAACAAAGGATGAGCTCATACAAAATTGAATGTCGGAACTTTATTACAAATCGTCCCTGGCGGCTCCGCGGAGACATCGACGCGGGCGGCTCAAACTGATGGCCGTCCTGAGTTACGCTCGCAGCTTATAGCCTCCGAGGGACCGACCTCCGCAGCCCTCGCACAGATCATATGAGAGCATCGGGCACAAATATCCGAGGCGCAGGTGCATGTGAGTGTGGTCCGACGCGTGATGTCGTTGCTAGCTACTAGCTCGACAATTGAACGCACAAATCAAGCCGATATCTCATTCTGGTGCAAATTTTACGAGCGTCCTCACACAAATACGCTGCTTTCCTGCTGTTTAGGAACATTTCATCACGGCGTTATTGTGGCAGGATGGAAGTTATCTTTAGTCTGTGAACTGCTTCACAACAGAAATGTACAGGCCGGATGTTACTGCCCGTACCCACGACACCGATGGCTTTGAAGTTCGTTACCTCATCGGTTTGTAAGAGAATTAGATGAAGTTACGAGCTCGGTTTGATGAGAAGTTGTCAAAGTAAATTCTCGATGGAAGTTTCCGTGTAAATACGATAAAGTTTGATGTCGGAGAGATCTTGAGATATTTTAATCATTGAGGAGTTCCAGCTCGGTGCGGTTTCCGTCTCCGTTAATATTTTAATTCAGTTTGGCCACATGCAGCGGAACTCGAGTCGTGGTGTGCCGCAGTGTTCGCCTCGGTAATGAATGTGGCGTATCGGGGCGCGTTGTAATGTGTACAAGCAAGCTATAGACGCGGCGGCCGCGGGCCGGAGACGCGTGCAGAGCGCGGTGGCTGCGGTGCCGCGGGTGCGATAGCGGGGACAAGTCGACGTCGTAAATAAATATGATCTTGTATCAGTGTAGGGACGTAAACGCGCAGTTATTGAGGTCGTAATAAAGATACTGACCGCCCCCCCCCGCGCCGCGCCGCGCCGCGACCCTCGCTCGCCTATCGTTCGCATAAAATAAACGACATCTTACTGTAAGTAGATAAAATCGCGCTAACTCGCAGTGGCTCGGCGCCTGTTCACTTGATGCGCGGATATTTTACGATCGTTACGAGTTCGATCCCAGATTTAATGTCGAAGGGACAGAGCTTCTATTGCTTACGTCGCTTTATCTCGTCTCCGACATCAACCCGACATCAACACTAACTTTTACAGAATGTTCAGTATTTTTTGTGTTGTCGTAGCATCTTGGCTACACGTATATGTACATAAGTAGTTACATATATCCATGGCTCTGCGACGTCGTGTGTGTTCCTTACTCAAGACTTCGCAGGTAAAGCAGCGGTAAGCGGTAGATCTGTACTGCATCCCCGGTAGCGATCGTTCAATCGTTCAAACATATACTTTGACAATGTGAAAGTTGTTGAAGGCGGAAATTGCTGTGGAATTCTCTCTGTCTTTGCCAACGCAATCTAATGTAAATATAAATATAAATTCACCCGTTAACAAGTGAGGTATGATCGTAAAAGTTTTTGAGATCAGTTTTTGAAACCACGAAAATAATAATCTGAATAAGTATGAGTGAAGACTATGTGCGGTTGCTGTACACTGCACGTTGTTCGTTAACAAAATGAGTAAACATTCTTTAATCGAATCCGAGGTGGCAGCGCGCCACGCAGCGCCATACAATTGTTTGTTCAAATCATTCATAATTCACAACAGTTTTATTTTGTTGATGAACGAGATTATATGAATCCCAAAAACCAAATATATCACGTTTGTTTGTCTACATACGTCACTTTATATACAGGTATTTACGAGTAGTATAATAAAACATACAATACTAAAAACAGTATTTGTACGTTTCACTAACTTATCTGTGACCTAACAGATAAATGGCGGATGTAGTGTATTCGGTGTGATCGGTACCAATTTTACAAATCAAACGTTAACCTAATATGTTTTCTTAAAGTTAATCCACGCCGACGGACGGTACCGGACCACACAGCCAGTTATCCGATACAAATGCGACTACAGCCACACGCCTCGCGTTTGAAGGTAAGCAGCGAGTAAGCATTTACTTCATCACGTCGGATGTGGTATGGGGCTCCTCCGTTAAAATGAACCAATAAAAACATTGAAGTATTTCATTGTGAAGAGCAACGTGTTTTACTTGTTCAACATTGAGGTTCGGTACGACCCACTTCGTTGTCTCCGACTGGTACTCAAAGGGCCGAAGACGCAATAGAAGATTCCAACAAACAAAACGGGACGATGATCTGAGACTTTATTTTAGGTTATTTTTATTGCTTATATGGGTTGGCGAGCTCACAGCCCACCTGGTGTTAAGTGGTTACTGGAGCCCATAGACATTTACAACGTGAATGCGCCACCCACCTTATAGATATAAGTTCTAAGGTCTCAGTATAGTTACAACGGTTGTCCCACCCTTCAATCCGAAACGCATTACTGCTTCACGGCAGAAATAGGCGGGGTGGACTCACGACTGGACATCATTGGAGTAGGACAGCGCGATGTAGAATGCAGCGGAAAACGCTAAAAAAGTCTTATGTGACCAGACACGCTCAACGGAGCTACAGATACTTTATAACGAAACAATGAACCTGAACGAACGCATCTACTAAGCATATTTAACTGTGTAGTTCAGAAGAGAAGGCTTCTATCTATAGAGAAGGTACTATCATTATTATGCGGAATGTACTGCGTAAGTATCATGCAGAGGTTGAGTTATGTTTTGCTCTCAAACGAATCAACTCTCCCAGTTAACGATTACAATAAGACACAATTTTCCTAGGAGGTAAATAAATGTACATCTACGCCGAAGAAACTGCGTAGCGGCTACGGCGTAGAGCTCCGTAGACTAATAGTATTCCGGAGGCTTTTAGGAGATGAATGCGATCGGATTGATGGGTGCGTCACCGGTAATGGCCGATCGCGGCCGAATGGATTGCCGTTTTGTTTATTGAGTACCGAGCTCCAAGCGCCTCTGACACGTGGAACTCGGATTTTATTTCCATAGACATTAGGCATGCTTTCGTCTGCAACCGATGACTAACGGAAAGTGCTTACGGCTTAATAGAATTTAGGTGGAAATAGGCTCGTGTCGGTATGCCGGAGGCAATATGAATGCATCTCACTATTGTGTAGAGGATACTATAGTATGGATTGTACAATTTTGTAGACAATATTGGAAAAACCGTCTCGCACTCTGCACTGCTCACTGCTTTGACTGAAGCGGGGTCTTCGAGTTCCAACGCCGTGAACGTGAACGAATTAGAAAAGGGGTAAACATTTTTTTAATATCTTACTGGAGTTTTCTGTATATCCCTGGATATTGAGACATCGAATCAATTTCGAGTGTAGTACAGAATCAATTGGAACATCGTGGTACAATTCTTTTTTTCCAAAACCTCTATAGTAAAATACAAAGCGTAATAGTGTTTAACAAGATGCTATGAGCCAAAATTGAAGCATACGATACTGTAACCAAGTTAATCGATGTCCCAGACGGACTCATATAAGGCAAATAGTTTATTTTATTACTAATGTACTTTGTACTCTGTGGTGGAAGTTTTTATCTCCGGAACTTGAACTTGCGAGCTGGAGCTGAGGGGTGGCGGTATGCGGGAGAGAGGACGTTGTCTATACCTCGGTCGTGAAATAGAAACTTCATGAAAATATATGGTATACGCTAATTTTATATTCATGCTTCCGCTCCTGCAATCATCCCTTACACCCCGATGGGATAGAAATCAGAATGTCAAAATAAAATTAGTGAATAGGTTGTACCGGGGTGGTGAGGGGTGCGGGGCCTGTCCGCGCGGGAGACGACACGGAGAGACTAGGCGCGCTCGTCGCTTCACCTGGGAACAAGAACAATATTACTACTACATTAATTGTTACTGTATGTTCTAGTAGGCGGGAGCAGTACACACCATTTCTGTTGCGATGCAATCAATAATGCTAGTTTAAGGGGTATGATAATATAACAATATGTCGTCTAAAACTATATAGCATCATGAAGACAGAGGTTGAAGTCACAATTACATTGGAAGAGTAGAACCGTGACATTGAAACAGCAGTGAGTGGTGGCCGCGACGGCCGCGAGGACGAGGATCACGTAAAGTCCGATAACTGACACTTAAGACATAAGCTGAACTTTTACACTCATAAATAAACGGTACAACATTTCATTCCAAATAATTGGTTCTCTAGTTGAGATCGTGGCGACTCATTATTGTGAGTCCTGATTGAAAATAAACTAATTTCAATATAACTACGATGGGAATAAGCGTGCTCTGAGCTCCTCTGTACGTCTAGGCCTAGGTGATAATATTGTGATAGCTGCTGTGAATATAAGATCTATAGCGACGACAACATGACAAAACTCTGAAAGATCCCATCACTGACTTATTCAAAAGGCAATAAGAGGCGTAGGACTCTCCAAAACGCGGGAGACAGTAAAATCCGAATCGGTATAATTGCTAAAATTGTTGGAGTTGGACAAGTGTTGGAGTCGACAAGAGCTTAATTACCGCGCGCCATAAACCAATTATACATATGAAGATATGTACGCTAAGAGCTACCATGCTCTTAATACACAGTACCGATGATAATGATAGCAAGAATGTCCAAATGCACGGAAGTTTCCGCCAGCTACCACAAGATTTGGACATTAAACGATACAAACGTTAAGGAGTTTAAGAGATTAAGGACTTCATTTTGCCAGAGACTATTTTTCTATTAGATGTGATGGGATGTGCGCTTGTACTTTTAGTCCTGTTGATCTATATTCTATTGCAATGTGGTGGATCAAATACAATAATATTAGCGAGAGCAGCTCTCGTCTGGAGATACCCTGTCTCATCAGGTGATGCCATACGCAATGATCTATCTCTATCCGTGACATTTTCACTTGTGTAGACTTGTGTAGAAGGTGGATCTTTGGCGGAAGTATTCCTTTGAATTCGCCATGCCATTAATATACTACAAACAGCATTAAGTTGTATTCTTTGTGTTTTGCATTGGTCATGCTGTAATGAACATTTATAGGCTTGGATTATCTTTGTAAAGCATTGACGCGGTTCTGGGTGTACTGAGATGCAACAGTACAACAGGCAGCAGTACGTATGTGCCTCCGTACGTATCTTCTACATACTTTACAGAGGAATATTAGTGTTTCATCCCCTTTGGGAAGTTTGTGCCCTTAAGTCATCACGCTGGGCATGCGACGACATAGCTCTCAAAGTTAGCAGGCTGAAGTGGCAATGGGCCGGTCACATCTGTCGAGCTAGCGACGCCAGGTGGGGGAGGAAAGTCCTCGCATAGAGGTCACGGATGGGTACCAGGAGCGTGGAGTGTCCTCCAACCAGGTGAACTGACGACTTAGTGCGCACGGCGGGAAGTCGTTGGATACGGAAGGCGGAGGACCGCATTATGTGAAAGGCATTGGGGAAGGCCTATGTCCAGCAGTGGGCAGATAAAGGTTGATGATGATGATGATGATCCCCTTTGGGAATAGATTATAAGAATATGTACACATTGGGCGTTTAGAACTGTGGTTCTAAACGCCCAATTCGAATGAAAACCTACGTTTGTCCTTGAATAGTTGTAGTTGTTCATTAATTTTAGTAAAGTTGAGTTATATTAGCGATTGCGGCAGAACCGATTCCATCCCTGTCCGAAGCAATAACGGTAACCGGTCGAACAGTTAGCGATTACATCTTGCGAGTCACGGTCCCAATACGAGCGATTGGCTAAATGCCGGGGCGACTGTAGTTTTTCCAATTTCCCTGGGAGCGCCAAATTGGGCGGTCGCGGCTCCGTAACGAGGTTTATATTGATAAGGGACACGAGCCCGGCTCGTGATTAATCCGGACGATATACCACACCCCCGCCCCCGCCGCCCCCGCCTCACCTAGTCACACCTCGTCTCGCCTTGTCTCAACGACTGTACGTAATTTTTTATTTGGAGTTAAATTCGTTAAGCAAACGATTTTTGCAATCAAGATATATTTAACTGTAGCTTTATGGAATATATCCCGTTTTGTTTGCTGGTCCGAAATATTAAGAACTGGTTATAACTAGACCAGGATAAACGTGTGATTTTTTTTTTATATGTAGAGCTAGTCTAATAATCGAAAAATAATTATCATTACTATACCCCTCTATGTGTTCTCATATAATTTTGTTCATAGCACTAAAGTTGTCGTCAACAAGTCATTAAATAAAAAAAGAAATTCGCTTTACAAACAGAGGAGACAGCAGTACTAGTGTTTAAATGTTTTGTCCATTGATATGTTGATAAATCAATCTAAAATAAGATAGTTTGAAGTTTTCGGTACACTCAAATGTAAAAGATATATTAATAAAAATACAATCATTAGAAGTTCCCAACAAATTGTGAAGGGAAGCTCGAGAGGGATTTGTTTGATTAATTAAATCAATTCTCACAAGTGAAGGAGGGCGGCCTTTTTGAGCGGAACGCATTAATCTTGTTAGGATAAAGGTGACTCTAAATTCTGTCGGACCATTTTTCATGGATTTTCTAATTTCCTAGCGTCCAAGCGGTCGCGAGGATTTTTTGTTCATAACCGGAGCGGTGTTGTTCGAGAGGATCGCGTTTGTGGGACCGGCACTGCATCACCCCGGACTCCGGCCACATAAATAACCGCCTGGAGTACAGAGATCGACCGCCCCGCAGAGATTTATCTCGGGAAAAAACCTGATTAATTGCTACATTCAAAGACGGAGGCGTAAGTCAGGACACAAGAAATAATGAATAGCAGAGTGGGGCTCCGCATAACGCGGCGCGGTGCCCCTATATTGGTCACATTAGAGCGGCTAGATGATGACGGTGGGCGCGTCCAATTGCTGTTGTCGGATATCACAAAACGCCGTGTTCTCTCCGTTACTTCGATACACGAAAGGCTTATTTTTAGCCTTCAAAACCAAGTCTCCAGGCTCCAGTTATTACCGAGTACGCCGTAACTTCGTCTGACGCGTTGAACTAACAACACTACGCCATCTAAATATATTTGAAAACCAACATCCATCTGTAAGCATGACTGCCTATTGTCGTAGTAGCACAGTGAGCGCCTCGTCTTCCCTTGCTGTACCAATTCCAGCACATGCGATACGGCACGTTTAGTCCAAATTATTTACACTGCATTTTGAATGCACCTTTCACTAACTAATTTATAGACAATAAGTTTACAATGAATAATACGAATATTAGTTTTATTACTGATGCCTTTAAATCCCAACGCGTTGTTACAAGTATAGACGCGTGTAATTAGTGGGTAGTGGCGTCGCGGTGAGCGCGCCGGCCGCGGCTTGTTTTCAATTGCGAGTGTCGTCGCCTGAATATTCAGATGCTGCATCAATATTCATGAATACGCCTGGCTCCTCTTCTCTTTGGCCCGCACCGCGGCACGGCTTCAAACATATTCACCGGAGATGTATGTCGTTTGATTGTATCGAGTGGGAGCGCCGAGCGCGGTCTCGTGGTTCAGTATCGTCGTGTTCATACGACTAGCAGTATCCCGCCTTCACACTCACCTTACATTTAGGATTTGAGCCGCGTCGTAAATTTGTTTGGTTTTAAGTCATCCTGAATATGCGGGTGGTCTACATAGACATATTTTCGGTAACTGGAGCGATATCACCTAAGATTGGCCGTTCAAACATGCAAACTTTTATGTAATATTTCAGCCGTGCTGTGGACTGTACATAATGATGCGGATCAAATTGACTGACAAATGGCCATTATTGTAAATACCAAATTTATAAATGTCCTTTTTTGAATTTTCAATTGACGTTGGATACGTAATTAACGTAATTGCTTATATCATCCAAAGTTTTGATCACATTAGCATTTTTGCTACCATAACCTCTCACTTCCTTTTTCTTTGTTGAGATTACTTTAACTCTTTTGTCTGTGTCACTCACTCACACTTAATCACTCATGCCCAACAACATAATAATTAGCCTCCACCCACAATGTTGCCGTGGTATTCAGTATTATAGGAACCAGTCACCGTAGGCCCCGTAGGGCCGCAGTAGTGGGCTACTTGGTAGGCGTGTTACCAACGTATACTTTTTGAAAATTTTACGTTTATACTGGATTCATAATACATAAAATACGTTCTCAGTGAGTACCTATGAGACAATAAAATCAAGCTCTATGCTAAATTTAAAGTATCCATTCGCCTATTCCGTCAGACATTTGGTGATGAGTGAGTGGTGTTCTCCTACACTCACACACAGTGAAGACTGCGGGCTTCGTAAAGTGTAATCTAATAAAATTGTTTGCCGGTAATCGCTTCCACTCTGGTGGGCGGCCTCCCTTGCTGTGCATTCCCTTTATAAATTTCCACGCCAGATTACACTTCGTTAAGAATTTGGAAATTAAATGCGCAATAGCTAATTTCGTTGGTTGTGTTATCGCGCTAATAGTTAGTTCTGTTCAAGTCGAGACGTTGGATGGGGACCGGCTCACTTCTTGCAGATCTTATCGACCTTTTAAAAAGGTACACGCTCATCAATTAATTTATTATCCAATTATGTTCCTTATAAAGGGAGTATATAAAGTCGTGTGAGCTGGTGAAAGGTAATGACGTAATAGTCGAGGAGTGAAGAGCGCCTAGAGGGTAGTGGAAGGCGTCCCCCGACCAGGTGACCGCTCCGAGCTCGCTAAATGTAAATAGGGAGCATTAACGGAGTCGAGATATTAAAATATTTCCGCGGGGTGGTTTAATAGCGTCGGGTCGGACGCCGCATAAATCCGCCTGTATCACATAATGTGAGGGTTTTTATTGAAGCGAGAACCGCATTCATTAGGGCTCGAATTATGGGGACTCGGCGGGCGTTCGCGCCCTCGTTGATACTTGATGTAGCAGCGCTACCTATGTACACAGGACACTGGATTGGACGAACATACCGCTCTCTGCAGCTCCTGCGCTTTGGTACCGGATGCAAAGTGAGCGATAGTTGCGGTAGTCAGTGCGGTGCAGTGCCCCAGGACCCCAAGTGGCACGCTCGTGTGTCCTCAAATATATTGTGATTCCTCCCTTTGTATAAAGTAATTCTTTTTTGAAATATCATAATTCATTCTATTTGTAGAGATACATAAAAGACAGATACATGTTCGGAATTTGAACTATTGATATGTAGTGCCAATAATCATCAAGTAGATTTTGATCATTATTATCATCATCATCATCATTACCCAGAGACATCCACTGCTGGACATATGCTTCCTCGACGTTCGCCATAATGACCGATCCTGTGTAGCCTGCAACCAGCGGATTCCCTCGACCTTTACCAGGTCGTCGGTCCACCTCGCGGGAGGCTTACCCACGCTGCGCTTCCCAGTGCGCGGTTGCCACTTGAGAACTTTTCGGCCCCAGCAGCCACTTGTAATATGAGCAATGTGCTCTGCCCACTGCCATTTTAATCTTCCAATCCTCCGGGCTATGTCAGCTACTTTGGTTCTTCTGCGAATCTCCTTATTGCTGATACGGTTTCGCAGAGAAACTCCGAACATAAGCCTCTCTCCATTGCTCTTTGAATCTTTTATTTTTTTTATTGCCTATTTTTATTGCTTAGATGGGTGGATGAGCTCACAGCCCACCTGGTGTTATGTGGTTACTGGATCCCATAGACATCTACAACGTAAATGCGCCACCCACCTTGAGATATAAGTTCCAAGGTCTCAAAAGTATAGTTACAACGGCTGCCCCACCCTTCAAACCGAAACGCATTACTGCTTCACGGCAGAAATAGGCAGGGTGGTAGTATCTACCTGCGTGGACTCACAAGAGGTCCTACCACCAGAGTAAGTCTTTTCGTAAGACCCTGATGTCATCATTGGCAGCACACACTGCTCATAGACTTCCGTCTTGAGAAACTGCGATATTTGAAATGAGAAGATTTTGCTCAAGGTAATGTAATGAAGGAAGGTTCACTAATTAATGTCACAAGTGTTTAGTTTATCAATATATTCTTAATCAGAATTGTAAATCTATTGAAGTCACGCGGCTGGTAGTCGGACCGCAATAGTTTTAAGAAGAAGAAAAAAGAAAGTTTTAGGAAGAAGATCTAGAAAACAAACAACAATGCGCCGGCAGTCTTGTTTGTAGATGGACGAAAAATACGCTTGTATAATACGGTAGGGACACAATCATCCAACTCTCAATATATTCCACTTTTGATAACTCACTAAACATAAAGTATAATTTTATTATACTGTGTGTGAGTGGTTGGGCATGATTGTGGCCGCAGGGTAGGTACCACCGCTCTATTTCTGCCGCAAAGTCGTGGCAGGGTAGATTAGGACTTGGTCAGTCGAGTGCTTGCCGACTCATTTACGCCAAGAAAACAATTTTTAACGGGAAAAGTCCGGAAAACCATTTTGAGGTCATCACGTAATATCTATAAAGTAATATTACCAACATTTAATTACTGTCGGTTGTAAATATGTAAAAAATGCGTTATTTATAATCTATTACGCGTTTTGTCCGGACATTGTGAAGCGGCCGCGGGTTGAGTCCGCCCTCGAACTTATGACACGCAATAATTTCGTCGAGTAAGTGTAATAATACGGGTCCGCAGCCCGCCAGACATTAAGCTGATTTACACGGCCTTTTAATTGTGAAAAGGTTCGTTCATACTCGAAATTTTTTCACACTTTCGCCTACCTACTACTGCCCATCCCTTTCTTGGCATGTGTTTTTAAGATTACTTTATTTATAACTCGTCGTAAAACTCATGTCGTGAGAGTACAGAACTACTCTTTCAGCTGAATGCAGTAGAGAAGACAAGGCAGGAAGAGAAGGCAACGCACTGTAGATAAATGCAATGATCTGGGGGGGGTAGTAGGGATGAAGTCTGCTCCAGTGCATGACGGGAGAAAATTTAATAAGTCTTCGGAGTGCTCATGTTATGAGTGCTCATGAGTTTCCTGGGAACATACAAAGTATGAAGAAAACCGATGTTATCGTGGTCTAAAGGATAAAACGTGTCTTATGACGTACTTATAATGAGTGATGCGACTACGCGGGTGTTTAAATTCCGTAGGCGGGCACAAGGTATTTGTTAGGACATAATATATTATGTACTTAACAGGTATTTACCTACGAATTTCATGAAGAAGGATTGACATTGTGCAATAAAATACAAACTCGCAAAATTTATAAACTTACTTAATTACTGTTATATGTATAACTACATATTGCATATTAGTGGTATAGTCGAGCCGCACGAATGGGTACCGATAGGTATACTATATATTTTACTGTGAAGCAGTAATGCGCTCCGATGTAGGGCGGGACAACTGTTCGGACTCGCCTTGTCACGTCAATGGGCTTCAGTGACCACTGAACACTCGGTGGGCTGTGAACTTGTTGACTTATGTACTACAGTAAAAATAAACAGCTAAAAATTCCACCATCAACTGGAGGATCAATACTAACTGGAGGCCTACAACTTTCTCAATTCTGAATTTGTTATTGATGTTGACTGAATATAATGATTTGAAGTCGTTGTGGTCTAAAGGATTGGAAGGAATCACGTCGTGTAATAGAAATCAGACCCGCAAAAAATCCAATTATGCGTAATTATTTGTGTTAGGACATCTTGTGAGCCCTCGCAGGTAAGTACCACCATACTGCCTATTTTTGTAGTGAGTAGGTAATGTATCTAGGCTTGAAGGCTGAGACGACCGGTGAGCTGTAAAACGGAGACTTTGAACTGATATCTCAGATTGGTGGCGACATTTACGTTGTTGATGAATACGGACTCCGGTAACCACTTAGCACCAGCTCCTCTACACGTCTAAGCTATAAAAAGTACCCAGTAGTTGTTCTTATAAATTTTACCAAACTGCACCCAGTGTCCATCCGATGGGTCTGTCTGGAGCTCGATGATTACAACCGCCTTTGCCGTAGTCGGGTAACTAAATTTCTTTACGTTATTTATTTAAAAATGAAAAATTGGGAGCTCTTTGTCTGTCGATGTCGGTAATTAGCCGCTGCCGAGTTCAGATGCAGCTTTGACAATAATTACAGAGGGCGAACGCAAGCGGTTCCGACTCGACGCGACGCGGCGTAATCTCTGACTGTACCGCGGACATTTGCTATTCTACTATCTACTGTATGTAGAAGGAAATTAATTAATTAAATAAAATATATGTTATTTAATATAGTTTTTAATTGATCGATGAATATTGTATTTGGAATGTTATTTCATGAACTGTTGAATGTCAAAGTTAAGTTTATTTAAACGTGTCCTCTTGTTTCTTCCCTTAGGAATTCTTAAAATTGACGGAAAATTTTTGAGAGTAAAACAAATAAAAAAGCGCTACTACAGTTATTTTAGGAAAATATTAAGATCGTTCCCGTTTTGGAAGCGAAGGGATGAGGGTATGCCAGGCAATAAGAATATTAAACTTTGAATCCTCCTGTAATATATATCTTCAGTCCAAGCTGCAGTTGTCCCTGTGATTGTTTCGAGGTGTGTTTGGGGAGGCTCGAGCTGCGACAACTACATTTAAACTTATTCTACTAACAACTTGGTCCCGTGATGCGATTCCGCTTTATCCGCAACTTACTTTATTCCACTAAAGTTGTTTTACCCAAGGTTTATATAGGTACTCTAGCATGTCGCCAACGAGTATCATCCTGACATTCGGTTGGCCGTGTATCGCGTTCCGACCTGGCGGGCGGGTCTGGTCCAGAGGGGTATCCCGGGACACCAGGGGTATCGCCTGGGCGGCCTAAATACCCGATGTACCGAGACAGCTGACGTTTCAGAGCCTCCGCTTTGTCTCGAGGGCTCCGTCAGCCGGGCGCCCTTCTGGTCGCGCGTCTGGCTGCAGTATTGACTTCCTTAACCCGTCCGGGTTCTGACCTCGGGGGAATCAGAAATCAGGTAGGGCCCTATATACCATCCTTGCACCCACACACACGGTCGCGGTCCACTCACAATATCTGCGGATCGTCCAGTCTCACACACCCCGCGCTTTCCCTAGACGCGTGGACCTCGCAGAAGGTTTCTCAAACCGGGTCAGAAACAAAAAATTTGGTTCTAGTGCTTTTTTATATTTTTTACCACTAAGTAACGTGTGTTTTTAGTTGGACGAATAGGGAAAGGTAGATAGTTGTTGTAGCAATCTACATAAGAATACGGCGGCATTGTATAGTACAGTAGGAGTTCGTTATGGTACTGTAGAGTGCAGGGATCTATTGCTCTACTTTAATGTTCATTGAAATCTAAATAAAAAATAAAGTAATTCAAGATTTGAAAACCTCACTTTTTCCTTAATAATAGGTTTATTTTGCTTAAGAATTAATAAATTAAAGTTTCTCATTCAATGGCTCAAAGTTAGGATCACCGGAGAATCCAGTCAATAGAAGAATAAACAAAATTGATATCCAATGAGTACTTACAATAATTATTGGGTATCAGATCTGGTTCAGCGTCGTCCAATTCTGGTTGTTTAAGAGCGAGGTGCTGGGTGACGAGCGGCGCGGGCAGCGGCTTGGCTAGACGCGGCCGCCGCCTCCGTCGCAGCGACACGGCACACGCCCCCGCCAACAGCGCGAATATCGCACCCGCTCCCGCTCCCGCTGCGCCCAGCATGCTGCTCATGCCTAGTGACGCTTCCGTTGCTGTCAAAATATACGAAAAAACTTAAAACAACTTTTAAAGATTATTACGTATACATATAACATAAATTTTGTTCAATGAATCAATCTGACGCTCGTATAGTGTTCACTATAATCATGCAATGAGACCGTTTCGAAGAACGATCCGGTTCAATACCAGCGCGACTAGTCACTTCCGGTTCCCGGAACATAATTACATCTAGCTCATCGGTCATATTTCGTTCCAGTGTTATTGCGAATATAGGTCATATTAGTGAAGTTTAAAATTTGATGTTAGTTCTCTTCTTGTGTTTTTTGTGTTCTTTTTATTATAATGTAGATACTTGAAGTAAAGTACTTTGTGAAGGTTTTTATATTAGGTATTGTTGGGGTGCGTAACGTCTGGACCGTAGCGTGAAATCAATACGGAAAAGCGATGGACGTTCAGGAAAACGTCTAAGTACAAGGGTGTTTCAGTATGTGTATGATTTAATCTACTTTTTGTACACTTATTACAAAATATAGATAATTCGATTTAAAAAATACGAGATTGTAAATTCTTCTTAAATGTCGCAGGGACCGGTCAGAAGATTTTGAAAGCTGGCATCAAATAGCTCCTCGTAGTTCGTAAGCAGCCTATATTGTCCACGTCACGAAGCTTGCCAACACCGAATCGATCGCAATAACAATAAACAGGAGTCGAAGACAAGTAAGGAATGTCGGCAATGACAATAAGTCATCTGTAGTCCCGGCAGTTAGTGGAGCCTAATTACGGCGGACCTCATTAATAACTGGGAGCCTTCGCTCGGCGCGCGAACAACTTCTGTCTTTTATTGGTCGTTACTACGTTCCTTCTGAACGGTCATAGCTTCGTGTGGACGCACTGCACTGCATTCTACTATATTCAATTTAGTTACACGAGCCGTGGCGTGGTGTGGGCCCGAACCAGTTTCGACTAGTTATCGCTTTATGTTCAAAGAGTAGAGTGGTCCCTATTTTCGAAGGCAAGCTTTTATTATTGCCTGTGTAGACAGGTGGTGACACGCTTGACCCAATGTTGAGCGACCAGCGTCGCACAGCCAAGCCGCGGCCTAACGCTAAGGACTTGAGTATTGTTACAAAACGTCACAGGATTCAGTGCGAGTAATCAGATGTTTGTATATGGGTGCTCGGACGTCGTGACGATTGATTGATATTAAGTCAATGGAACAAAACATAGGGCGCAGTAACGTCTAAAAATGATAAATCTTGCACATACAAGTTACAAATCGTTATGAAGGTAATTTAAAGCAGCCATAACTCCGACGTTGTAATACTCGTATATGTAGATAGCGCGTAGTTCCTACAATCTGTTCGTGTACAAGTAAAGTTTGCGTGGCAATTAGCGCCGCGGGGTGTGGAGCGAGCGACGCCGAGGCCGCAAGCTATAGCTCGGCTCAAGCCACCGCTCATGTCGAATCCCTAATCTTGTCGCTTCAGCCTCCCTCACTCCCTTGTTACTCAACTTGCCAACTATTTATGATTAAAGCATATTAGTAGCGCCCTCAAGAGACTCGCTTTCATTTATTTATACCGTCGACAGCGCACAGAACTGGGAACAGTTCACGTCGCGACGGAAACTTAATGTCTTAGGAAATTCGTCGCTTCATTTGTTTGTTATTAGGCTTTTGTTTACTTATTACCAATACCCGTGCCTACATATGTGTGTATGTTTACAACACTTCTTTAAGTGGCAGATGAACTCACAGCTCACCTGTAATCAATGACTGTCGGAGTCCACGTGTATCCTGTAATCCAGTACACTTACATATATGACAAGTTCGTGGCAGCTTGAGACATGGGGTCAGCCTCAATTGTCTCAATAGCAGCGTAGACAGACAGAAGCGGTGTCGATCCATGCGGCGCACAATTCGCTCTGATATCAGTTATTATGCAAATTTATAAATTTGGTGGGACGGTTTATGGATTATTCGTGCAGAATTTGAACCCTGGCATAGTCGGATCAATCGAGTGCTTCAGGCATTTTACTGATTACGTTTCTTTGGCGCATAAAATTAAATAATACGCAGGAGTAGGCACCATCGCTCTATCTATATCTTCGCCTAGCAATCATATATGATTTTAAACTAATTCAAAGCTCATAACGGGCTTTAGTGATCGTGTGACTTCGGCAGAACCCGGAGCTGTGGCCTCTCGATCACGCACAGCACCGCTGGATCAGCGTAGTCGTGATGTCTTATTCAAGAAACTAAGTACCTGACCTTGATATACAATACTTGAAAACAAAAAAAATTGTGATACAATTCTCCAAAAATGGGATTGTGTAAGTTCCATTAGTGGGAAATGCTGTTGACTTCCTCCAAGGGGAATAGTCGGTCTCGGTTGGCACTTAGCCACCTACTACTTACTACTAGCCGTAGCCCTTACCACTTAGCCGAGACTTCGATATATCCAGAAGAATGTAATTTTTTTATAAAGAATGAAGTGGATTTTTATTATATTATATTGACGAGATTCGCCACCCACTTCAGTATCATGACATCATATTTTAAACAATCAGAGAATACGAAGAATACCTAACAATACAATGCAATGATTGGGACCATAAACGTGAAACGTGGTTGTTTTTATTACATTTAGATTAGAAATTATTTGAGATGATTCTATTTTAGAGTATTGTTTTATGATTTAAGGGTTGTTGGTGGCCCGAAGGCCTTTCCAGTTTCACCAGGACAGGTGGGCGACCAAAGGCTCAGCCTGGAGGGGTGGGATTTGCTAACAGCTGCCCGAGCGCCTCCGAAGGAGACCTAACAACCTGACTCCCAGGTACTTGATCTTCCTGGCCCAGGGTATAAGTTGGCCAAAGAGGTTGATCGGGGGTGTTTTAAAATCATCATAAGCGGACGAGCACGCGAGCCCTCCGAAAGAAAGCGTTCACAATTGTTGTCCACCAGCAAACCGATAGTAATGTCAATTTAATATTAATTGTAATCTTTACGTAAAGTAATAAAATAAAACCCCTTCACGACGGAATAAGGTAGTATGGCCACACAGCCGGTCGGGGGCTCACAGCACAACACACAACCGATGCGCAATGAATGTTGCCGGGATTATAATGAGAATTATCAGCATAAACGTTAGGCAGCGGCTTGGCTCTGCCCCTGGTATTGCTGAAGTCCATGGGGGACGGTAACCACTCATCATCAGGTGGGCTATAGGATTGTCTGTCTACAAGGGCAAGAAATAAATGAAAAATAATTATTATTATGAAGAACAGAACTTTTTCACGTGCAGGAGTGCTAACAGTCTCTCAGGTAAGCAGGGTCGATAGCTATTTAAACTATCCTGCCCATCGAGCCAGACCGCATGGTAGCTTTTTGGCAGATATAGAAATGACATGGGTGACAACGTACCTAACGATATTTTCAACTTTTGTGATCGAGTTGTTAATTAACGTTAGGTAGGTACCAAATGTTATGATGTTCATATATGACCCTCGGTTTGGGTGAACTTAATGTAAATATTAATGTTTCCCTCGTCCCCGCCGACGCCCGTACGGGACGTATGCTCCCGTTAATGTAATCATTCGTGACTCAATTTCACAGCAATAGATAGTATGCTGAAAAGTACGCATACATTGAACCCATGTCGTTAAATAAAATCATAATTGGATTAGAATTTAAAATGCAAATGAAAATGTAGTTTTGTCATATCGAATTCGGTGCAGCGTTCTGTTGGCTCATAAAACTAGTAATGAATAGGTCGGCCGCTCGGCACTAGTCGGCAGTCGGCGGGGCGACGATCGCAGGTGTCGACAGTGGCCCCGCCCGCCCCCCGCGACCGCCCCCCGCGCACATATATCACGCCGGCCTCCGATACGCAAAAACGACCAAATGAATAATCATTATTCATCGCAGTTTATCAGTGATTTATAAGCGTGTTATTATATTTTTCCGGTCGTCGCAATTAATCCGTTGCTGAAAATATTGAACGTGATTCAGACTCGATGAGTTGTAGCTGTGGATTCATTGGCGCCAATTGGCGGGTGGGTCGTCGCAAGTCATGACGTCATAGTTTAGCTGAACTTGCACTGATTTGTGCTGATCTCCTCGCGCGGAGTGACGCCTGTTGACGTATACCTCGCCGCTGCGACTATGAACAAGAATGACACACGTCGCGATCTGGTTACGAGCTTTGAGGCATTTGTGTTCCGGACGTGTATGCGATCAAAAAAATCGCGGCGGGTTCGCAACTTTTGTTACGTAACAAGAGGGCAAAACCACAAAAAACGATCAACTCTAATGAAAGCTACGTTTTGCTAACATTGGAACTTTGCATCGTAACTTTACGTGAATTACTACTATAAAGCGAGTACATAGTGCTAGTGGCGGGACAGACTCCCATTATCTTAACACACCTTTCCAGTCACGAAAAAATATGAATATTTCATATCCAGAGAGAGTAGAGCTAGTATTTAAAGCGCGCGTTTGGCGACAGCAGCGGTGTCTCAGAGAGCGAGGGTCGTAAAGCCGACTGGCGCGCGTGGCTCTGTGCTTACTGCGAGCTTTTTAACGTTCTCGATAGCGTCAAAGTTAATTCAATATTGTATGCAGCTGGAAAAGCGCCCCTAGCGGCAAATGTAGGCAAACGTTCCAACTCCGTACAAATTTGAGTTAAATTTTACGCTATCGAGAACGTTAAAAACCTGCACTAAGTACACTGGTGACTTCTCCGGATAACCCCATTTAAATACACGAGTGCAGGGTCTTCGCAATATGTACACCTCAACGAGCTACGTACGATTCTTTATTGTTTGAATTTTGAATACATTTAGTGCATTTTTAAAGACATGAATAAAATGTATTGCTTCTTATATGTATACGTTATGCGGTGATCGATTTGAAGTATTTTTCAACCCATTGACCGGTGTCAAACCATTTTAATCCATAGGTATATGCATATAGATATTACTATTTAAAGTAAGGTGACAACATTTTTTACTGAAAACGGTTCCGAATACAAGT